AAGCTGCACAACTGCACATGTTAACTGGGTGGTCACATGTTGTTGAGGTCCACCCTTGCCTTGCTAGGCGTGTGTTTTCGGTTTACTTGTGTTTTGCTACCTTATGCTGAAACTTGGTAAATTTTCTTTGTATAGGTCTCTGCCTCCAGACGAATATCCACCCTTGAAAACCGTTCTGAAATTTTGTACCAGTGAGTACTCCCTGCATTGAGGACTTGTTTCCTCTCTTGGAATCTGTATAATTACTTTCCCTTTCTTCGACAGGGTTCTTGATGCCTCTTTGACTGCATCTGCTTCTCCAGACTGTTCATTGAAGATGGCATTTGTGCTAAGTCAGGTCTGGATTTTGATTTATTCATTTTTATCATAAGCTTTACCTCGCTTTGACATCTTGCTGATGAATTTTGGTACCTGCAATGGCTGAATGTGTCTCGCAAACTTTTCTAGGTTGCACTTACATGCATGGCTAAACTACGCGACGAAAGATTTCTCTGCCCTGGTGGCTTGAATTCTGATAGTATCACATGTCTGGATATCATTATGGTAAAACAACTGCCGAATGGTGCTTGTCACTCCATTTTGCACAAGCTAATCATGGCTGTGATGAGAAACGAGTCATCAGAAGCCTTGCGGAGACGGTAGATTATTTCATGACCAATATTGGGCTATTTACTTCTCACAGAACCTTTTACTGAATGTTATGCTTATTCATTCCTATTCATGTCTTGTGGAATTGTGCAGCCAATATGCGTTACTTCTTAGCTATTTCCAGTACTGTCAGCATACACTTGATCCTGATGTTCCGACTACAGTTCTCCAATTCTTGTTGCTGGAGGAGCAGGATAATGAAGATCTGGATCTTCAGAAGGTCAGCTCTCTACTTCTCATGGCAAGTCTCTTTCATTTGTTTCTTCGTCTCTATAATCACCCTACTATCTTTTTCACAGATTGACAGAGAGCAGGCTGAGCTGTCCCGTATTAATTTCACACTAATAAGGAAAGAAGGTCAGGCCATCTTAGATTTGGTAAGGATATGAAGTTTTGTTTTAGATATTGCTTGACTGCTGCCACTCCTTGTACTGACATAAGTATCTTCGTATCTTTAAATTTAACCTCTATGTCGATGGTGGTTTACTTGGGCTCTTCCCCTGATGTTGGCTAAGATTCTTCTCAAATTTTAGTTCCCTTTGCTTGTTTGTCTTTCTTTTCAGTTCTCATGCCAGTCTGTTGCTCTTATGTATTTGCAGATAATAAAGGATGCATCTCAAGGCAGTGAACCTGGGAAAACTATAGCGCTTTATGTGCTGGATGCATTGATTTGTATTGATCATGAGAGATATTTCTTTAGTCAATTTCAAAGCAGGGGATTCTTAAGGTCTTGCTTTATGAACATTAGCAACACTTGCCATCAGGTTTGATTTCTGAACAATCCTGATTCACAGGCTGAGGGTTTTTCCATTCCATTCTAATGTGAACTAACTAGTTGGGATTATCAAGAAAAAGAATTGGAATAGCATGTATATATCTATATATATATTATTTGTTTCTTTTATAAATTATTTTGAACTGTATATTGTTATATTCATAGGATGGGGGGCATTCACTAGATTCATTGCAGCGAGCATGCACACTCGAGGCTGAACTTGCACTGCTACTGAGAATTAGCCACAAGTATGGGAAGACTGGCTCCCAAGTGCTATTTTCTATGGGTGCTTTAGAGCACATTGCTTCATGCAGGACAGTTACCCTGCAGGTGACAGTATGCTCTGTTTATTATTCATCCTTTTTTGCACTTCATCTCATATAAACTAAATTAGATCGTAACTTTCAGGGTAGCTTGAGGAGGTTTGATCCTAAGAGTAGACGAAACGTTGCAGTTGACATTGACAGACAAAGAATGATAGTGACGCCTATTTTGAGATTGGTGTTCTCATTAACATCACTGATCGATACAGTGGACATCTTTGAGGTCCGGCAAATCTTTTAATGTTGGCTATTATTCATGTCAAGTTCACTTTTGTCCTACTCATCAAAACTAGCTAAGACCTGTGCATAATTGTGGCTGATGTCCCCACATTCTTTCACAGAAACTAAAATCATATTATCCTTTTGTTTTTAGAGAATTGTTATCTTACATTTCGGTGTATTTGACAGGTTAAGAACAAAATTGTACGGGAAGTTATAGATTTTGTGAAAGGACACCAACTGCTCTTCGATCAAATTCTTCATGTAGACATTTATGATGCTGATGAGTTGACAATAGAGCAGGTCAATCTTGCGGTTGGTATACTAAGCAAGGTAATGATTAGAAAGTTGCTATCAGAACTCTTTTTTTTATTATTTTTATTTTTTATGAATTCTGTCAGAACTCGTTGAAAGTGCATTTTGCTTTAATCTTCGCACTTTTAGGATTTAAGTCATCTTCAGAAGCTTGAAAACTTTTTCATCTAGTCAAAAATATCTTCTTAACAATATACCTCTTGTTCCTCTGCTTTTCTAGCTTGTGTTTGTGATTTCACTGAGCATAAGATTCTATAAAATAAATTGACTTGCTATTTGGCTGCTAATTTTTATGGGAGGAAACTAATAATATATTCCTCCTTTCGTTCCCTGGAAATTTTAGGTGTGGCCTTATGAAGAGAGCAATGAGTTTGGTTTTGTTCAAGGTCTTTTCAGTATGATGTGTGTTCTTTTTTCACGTGAGGTGGAGTCCAATACTACAGGAAGATCAGTTAAGTTGTCTGAGGTATCACCTTTTCCCCCGGCTGAAAGTATGTTTACAGTGATTTTTGTCTTTTTTTTTTCCTGCTCTTTATAACTCGTTTAATCTTCTCTTTTATGTCTTATCAGAACCGGAGGAAGTTGGAATTGAACTCCTTATACTTGCGTTTCAGTCTTAGTTCTTATTTATATTTCCTGGTTATAAAGAGGTCCCTAAGACTTCAGGTACGCCAACAACTACAATCAGATCAGTGCATTCCTAACTAATAATGGGCTGTGCATCTATCTGTAAACCTTTTGTGCTGAAGTGATCCTTTCTCATGACTGATGTGATAGGTATCAGACAACGTTGACTACCAATCTTCTGCTAGCGTCCATCAGCCGACGTTAAGACTGCTTGGTTCGCTTCTCAGCTTTGTGGCAACTTCGCTTGAGAAAGCGGCTGATGAGAAGTCACAGTTGCTTAATAAGGTAGCAAATCCAATTATTTTTAAAGATATTCTCATCTCAAGTTATTCTTGTCGAAAGGAGAAATTTTTACTTAAACTTTGTTGTTCATCCTGCCATATCTCTTAAGAATGTTTAATATCATCTGTTGTCTTCAGATTCGGGATGTAAACGAGCTGTCCAGACAGGAAGTGGATGACATCATCAACATGTGTGTTCGGCAAGAAACTCTATCACCTTCTGATGGTATACAGAAAAGGTACGTGTACCGTCTTTAAATTGCATAACAGAGTGTTATCATATTCATATCCATTGTTGACCTGGAAGCTAGGAAACCAAATCTAGAAGGTGCAACTCCACCAACATTTCATATTTGGTTGTATTTCTAATATGTACCTTATTTGTTTACAGGAGATACATTGCAATGGTGGAGATGTGCCAACTGGCTGGAAACAGAGATCAGTCTATAAGATTGTTACTTCCACTTGCAGAACAAGTGCTAAACGTCATTCTTGTTCATTTACAAGACAGGTAGACCTTCTGTTCTCTGTCTGACACCTCCTCCATGTTCGCCCTAGGCAAATCCAAAGAGTACAGACCCTAATTATCATCCCGTCTTTCCATTTTATTGTAGCTCTTCGGCATCTGAAGCTGCTAGTGCTCCAAAAACAATTACATATGGCACCACCAAAGGCGATTATGTTGTTAATGACGTGTCTTCGTTATGTGGTCATTTGGTGTCGACTCTAGAACGGCTTGAGCTGCTGAACGAGGTAAGCTGCTTCTTTAAACCCTCCATTCATCTGCTCCAAACTTGGTCCTCTGATTCCTTGGGAAAGAAAAAAAGGGCAAACTGCTCGAATGATGCATTGATATTCATCTTCGTTGGTTGCAGGATAAAGTAGGGCACAACTTGAAGGTGTTCAGGAGATTGGTGACGTCGCTCAAAGAAACCGCAATCCAGAAATTGGCTTTATGACAAAGAGTTGGGATCAACCAAAGTTTTTGTAGATGTATGCTGTGCATCAGAATGATGAATGTAGTCTTATCTGTATTCTGTGCCCTCTGATTGCCTTTATTGCCTTTCTGGCTGTTGTAATGTTCTCGGTTTGCATCAATCGTGCAATTCTCGGTTCTGAATGAGACTTGAATGTGTTCATAGCTGATGCTCAACGCTATCTTATAGAACTCATTCCTAAATTAATGGAGGATGAGGTGTTAAGTTGAGATCGTGATGATTGCTCGAGTTCATTGGCCTAAACCAAAGTCTTGGTTGCCGACCATTGACTCGCTTGCTCTCCCTTCCTCTGCCATCAATCCATATCATCCCCAACTAGCTGGCGTTTCTCCTATGCTATACTACTGCTAGTTTCTCTCTTTTTCTATCCTATTTCTTCTCCTCGATTTGGGTTGGGAGGGAATTGGGAGATGGAGTTATCGAGCCGACGATCACCAATCGGGGGAATGCAGGCTTGGTGATGAATGATGAATTACACTTTCCAAACTCATTCGGTTCCCAAGTCGTTTTGCGCAAGTAGTCGAATCGAGCTGAATCGACTATGCTGCTGCCCACCATACTTAATGGTTTCTGCTGCGCATGATCTCTGGTTAAATCTCATGGCCGCCACTGAAGAGCTATACGAGGTATCGATCAATTTACGTAGCACGATTCACTTACGATCATAGCTCAGCGAAAAAACATGGTAACGTGGGTTTTATTGTTTGCTTCAGAGTCGGTTCAATGTTCAAAGACAAGAGTACAAATCATTTTCAATACTATGGGAAACGATTTGTACTCCATAGCCAAATCTTTTACGTGTAAAATGTTGAAACTTGCATCTTGCCAGAGAGTCGTTAGTGCAATGTGCAACTTCACGACAGGGCTTTCCTCTAAAAAGTAAAAATTATTTGTCGCGAGACATTTCAACTGAATTTAACTAGTCCTTCAGTAGCAACTGTTCTTAAAGTAAAGGAACTCCATGCTTCAGCCATCGTCAGTCGTCACTGCACTCTGTTTCTTCAATCAAAAGTACCAAGACACAGAAGAGAGATCCCGCGACCCATTTCTCAATTTTCCAGATCCAATCTCCCGGATCTTTCCCCGTTAAAACTACGCCACCTCCATAGCTTTCCCGGGAAAATTTTCAGGAAGGGGAAGAAGGAACTCCTTAACCCGTTCATTCATTCTCCCATGGCAAATGGCTGGAGAAGAGAAAGCCGACACCCAAAGCTACTCTCTCCAAAGCCACTCCTTCTCCTTCTCCTCTCCCTCACCCTCCTCCTACTCTTCCTCTTCCTCGCTTTCCGTTCCCCTTCAGACCCCAATCTCACGCCATCTCTCTCCCTCTCCACTCCCTCCCCAAAGCCCTATCCAATCCCCCAATTCAACTGCTTCGATTCGCCCCAAGCTCACCCTGTAGTCGCCAACTTAGTCGAAAATGTCAATTACCCTTTCCTCTACTCGCTCCCGGATTTCGGATCGTTGCCCGATAAGCCTCACAAGAACCTCGTCCGGCTGCTCAAGGGGAAGCTGTTTCGGAAGCCTGATATCTCCGCCACGATTCAGGGGATTCTCGAAGGGATGAAGAAGGAAGGGGGAAATGATGGCGGGCTGGTTGTGGATGTTGGTGCCAATGTGGGGATGGCGAGCTTTGCAGCTGCGGTTATGGGGTTCAAGGTGCTGGCTTTTGACCCTGTTATGGAGAATCTGCAGCGGCTCTGTGATGGGATTTGGTTTAATAGAGTTGGGGAGTTGGTTACTGTTTTTGAAGCTGCTGCTTCGGATCATGTTGGGAATATCACTTTCTATAAGGTAAAGTTGTCATTTTGGACCTTGTTCTGATTGATTGACTGATTTAGAGTAGTTGAACATTTCCTGTAGTAAGGGGTGGTGTTTAGGAAAGGGCAGTTTAGCGAAATTTGTATAGCTAGATGGTGACAATGGAATCCTTGGCTTATGAGGAATAGATTGAGATGAACAGATTAAGAACACTACTGCTCAATCAGAGTGCAATTAAGTTGATTTTTTTATGTTGTTATATAATGATAAGAAGAGTGTAGATGAACTGTCCATTTTCTGGACAAATTTGGTTAGCTAGGCACTGAGGATTGCATGTCAATGGGTACTTTATGATTGTAATCTGTTACTATCGCTATCGCTGCTTTAGGATGAAACGGACTTGCAACCTTCAATCCAGGAATGCTTGTCCTAAGCAGGATGAGGATAACTTACTGATAAGTGATGACCATCTCAAGTTCTCGACATAATGGCGTCAACAGTCTTCCTCTTAACAGTGTTTGTAAGGCAGAAAACATACATTGTGATACCACAGTGGAGACCAAACCAGTGAGATTAATAGTTTTCAGGGATAATAGATGTATGATAACAAGACCAGTGTAGAACGGTTGTAAAACCTTGATAAAACCATATTTGCTTGGTCGCTAATACATGGTTTAACCAGTACAACCAATCTGTACGGTATCACAAACACTAGCATAAAATGCTCATAGTTAAAAGAGTTCCCTCATTATTTGATCCTTTAAGTATACTTATCTAAATCTTTCCCCCCCTTCTTCAATGATATATTCTGTTTGAGGCAAAGCTGTATGCAATCAGTCATCCCTTAATTTTTGGTTTGGTTGTTGTTATCAGTTGGTCGGGCGGCTCGACAATAGTGCTATCTCTGCCATCGGTGCAAAACTGGCTTTCAAGTCGAATGAGGAAGTAGCAGTTCAAGTAAGGACGATCCCTCTGGATGAAGTGATCCCAGATTCACAGCCTGTGCTTCTGCTCAAAATCGATGTCCAGGGTTGGGAATATCATGTCCTCAAAGGAGCCTCCAAATTACTCTCCAGAAAGAAGGGTGAAGCCCCCTACATTATTTATGAAGAAGACGAGAGCCTGCTTCAAGCCAGCAATAGCAGTGCCAAAGAGATTCGAGATTTCCTGCAGACGGTTGGCTACCATGATTGCACCCAACATGGTACGGACGCCCACTGCACCAAGAGCTAAAGTTTTTGGCATGATTAATGTAGAAAGCTGATATTCCAGGATTCATTATTCATTCAGGATCTCATTTTTGTAATGTTCATTTGCTTGCGAGGATTGTACATTGAAGTTTAATTTTATTAGAAAGAACTGGAAGGAGGAAGGAAAACAAGGGTAGGAGTTTGCACTCGGATTTTGATTATATATCTATGACTAGTGTACTTAGAGATCAACAGACTAATTGCATTTACATTGTACAATTCTTGATTGAATGATAGACGACAAGCATTCTTTCTGCAATTCTATACATGTGAGTTTGATCTGGTGATGTGCTTCTTCATCATTAAATTGGAACTTCTTTTGTTCTGCTTCTCTGAACCTCGAAAGAAATACTGGTCAATCATCAACATAGAACTGAAGCCTTCTCAGGATCATTTTGGTGCACTGGTTTTCGAGGGACCAGCTCTCTCCACCATAACATCATAAAGCTGTTTGCCATTCTGTTTACAGAAAAAAAGACGACGGATTAAAGTTATGGAAATGAGACTAAAAATCAGAGGCTGGCTTTCTATAAAGTATAAAGTAATATTTAAGACTCTGAAACTGGTTTTGGTAACAATAATCTCCATTACCCGCCCTCGGAATAATCTTAGCATCGGCTGTTACTTACGAATATGACAGGGAAGAAGTGGATTTGGCCTTCAGGTTTTGTTTGGGTCTCCTTAAAGTATACCAGGATAGGGAAGTTAGGCCACCATAGTTCCCAGTTCACAAAACTAGAATACCTGTTTGCAGAAGATGAAACAAGGCATGCCTTGATCTTAACTCCATCGAAGCATATAATAGAAGCAATGAAAGAGGTACTTACTTCCATCTGTTTTTCCCACCAACGAATACATTTTCGCCTGATTCCTCAAGCTGCTCTCCGACTTTTACCTCCTACGATCACACAACATCAAGCATTCTTGAATAACCAAAAGATATTGGACGACATTGAAAATGACGGTAAAAAAGGCGAGTGAACTCACCAAGGCCTGACCATCAAACACAAATCTCACCCTGGTAGTCTGTTAACAAAGAAACAAACCAATATTAGCTGAGATCAATTGTAGGCACCACAATGCTGTGCTTCATCGACGAAATCAAGGTTACGTTTCAACACATAAATGTCACCTGAAACAAGAGAAGCAATCCAAGCAAGCCAACTGGTACTGCTGGTACAAGGTTATCTGTATAGGCTAAGCCACCAGCCATACCTGTTTCAAATAAGAGCAGCCATTTAGCAGCCATAATAATCAAAGGCTCCCCTCCTGATTTTGAATACAACCTGCCACGATAAGTATTAAGAACAAACTCCAACAACCATATAGAATGAATTCTTCTTAAGAGAGATAGTGGAGGTACCAAGAAGAACAATGGGGATCCGGTAGTCAGGATCAGGAATTACAGTTTCTTTCTTCTGTGCTCTTCGACCAAGCTGTGTCGATGCCAAAAAAAAAACTCATACATTAGCACCCATAATTTCTTTAGTTACAATGTAAGGAAAACCAAAGCACAGTTGGAAAGGGTTTAGAGTTACAGACCACTGAGGCAAAAACGGCAGTACGGCTTCCTACTTGGATTCTGCTGATCTGAGTCCTCATAGGGCTCGGATTACACAGCAGTTTCCCATGGAATGAACTCCTCAGGTTCCCGAAACATCCAGTTTGCTCACTATCTGCTTCTAAACGGAATTGAACAGACAATGAGTCAGTAAGGAACTCCAACAGAAATGAGGTAAAGACCAAACGTATAAACTACTAACAGTAAAGGATAAAAACAAAAAGGCGCGAGCTTTTTGCTGACTAATCCCTAAAGATGCTTACTTTGTGAAGGTAGGAAGCGCGAAATCGATAAGAGAGCTTCTTCTGCTCTCTTGCTTTCCAGAGGCAAAAGGTTTCTTCCGTTCTTCTTCCCCTGGTGAAAAATTTTGGCGTGAAAATTGGATTATTTACGCTATTGCCCTTATTTTCATGGTGGGTTTACAGCAATAAAAGGGTACCTCAGTAAATGGCAGTTTAAAAATGTCTTTTGTCTTTCCTTCTTTTTTATGTTCTCCAAGGAGAGAGTGAGCCTTATCTGGTTAATTCATATCCAGAACTCGTTACAACCAATAACAGCTTTATAAACCCACCAGGACCCTCTTGTTCCTCTCATTCCAAAGACTCGAGCTTTGGTTTCAGGAAAAAAGAAATTCATTGCTCATTTGTCTGTATAATGGCGAGTTGTTCAAGCTTCACTACCATTTGCTCTCTTAATTCTCCAGATAAACCAGGTAAAGTCTCAGCTGCATCTGTTTTTCCCCAGTTCTTACTTGGGTTCCTGACTGAATTTGTTGGCTGTGGCTGTATGCAAACTCAGGAATTATTGGGGGTTCAGTTCCTGGGAGGGTTATTCAAGTCAGCAAAGTTTTCCAATCCTCAAAAGCTTCAAAGTCTCGGTCTTTAGAGGTCAAGGTAAAGTTCTTACTTGATACAGTTTAGGTTGAAAACTTGAATTGGTACCTTGAAGGTGAAATGCACTTGAGTTTTGCTTCAAACAATTCGGATAACTGTCTGTAATGAGACTGCTGCTGCATTTGAGTAATAAGGGCCCTTGTTCTCTAATTGAATTACGCTTATTCTTATATGTGTGAAAGAAAGATAAGGTAATGTACATGTCCTGATGTTGAAGTACTTGAGACTGGTGCAATATCTGAGACTATCTTACTGGATAATAAAGAGGCATTAATGATCTGGTTAACAAAATATCATTGGTTGGCTGCATGAAGCGCAAATTGTTGTGTACTTGTGTTACCAACTCTGTGGGATTTCTGTAACCAAATGCAGAAACCAATCGTGCTGATCAAAGCTCGATTTGGTTTCTATTCCTGCTTGCTCGATATGTTGACTCTTTTGTCTCTTGGCGTGACAGGCAACAGATGGTAACAAAACCGTCAAACCAAGGAGCATAGTCTGTACTGGCTGTGAGGGCAACGGTAAGCTCAACGCTGCATTGAGTGCTTACTTTGATCTTTTTTGTGCATCTTCTCCTGGTATAAATGAAATATCATGAATGTAGTAGTAAATTATGAAGAAATTTCATTCTGCCACAAGCTTATCTTTGTTACATAGAACATCTCTTGTCTTTGAATGCCATACACAAGCTCCCTACCTTGTACTTTCCCACATTAATTGATGCAGAAATCATTGATTATGATGAGCTTTGTGTTAATGAAACATCTATGGTTTCATACCAATATGGTTCTGCTTCGTACAAATCATCCAGGGGCTGTAGCATGTTCTCAGTGCAAAGGCTCAGGAGTCAATTCCGAGGACCACTTCAATGGTCGGTTTAAAGTTGGCGGAATGTGCTGGTTATGCAGGTACTTACCCATCAACCCCGGCACCCGGTTAACCATTTCAAAACTACCTAGTTAATGACTGAGCTTCTTGTTACACAGTAGTTCTGCAGTAGCTTATGCTCTCTCTCCAAATTACACATTTTCATTTGCAGGGGTAAAAGGGAGATGCTCTGTGGAAGCTGCAATGGAGCTGGCTTTCTTGGGGGGCTCATGAGCACCATCGATGATTGACAAAGGCGAGTGCTATCGCCTATCTGTTGCGGACAACTGTGGAAATGAGGAGCGTAAAGGGTCGGTTTCTGTATAAGTACTCACAGTCGCAGAGATTTATCTGCTGTGGTATTATCGTATCAAGAACGCAGATTAGTAATGTGAAACATCGTCATATCGTTTCGTACATTGCTTAGCCAGGTTTCAGTGAGTTGGCACTCCAGCTTGTGGAGATGCATAGTTTCTGTAAGTTTTTGATTCCAGGGAGAACTAATGCAGGGGTAAAGGTCTTCATCCCTGTGTTCAATTTTTTGGAACAAGAACAAAAAAAATTTACCGCAAAAATTTACAATTACGCGCCAGGTAGGGGTCGAACCTACGACCTTCTGCTTAGGAAACAGACGCTCTATCCACTGAGCTACAGGCGCTTTTATTAGTTTTTTTCACTACGTAACAGGTAAATTCTGTTTTTGTCACATGTCGACAGAGAGAGATTCTTCAACAACAGCAGAATTACAGAGATTAAATCCAAACCACACCCCATTCGGCAGAAACACATCGAAATCCAAGTCCACTGTCCTGATGTAAGGACCGTAGACCTTCACACTCCCTGGTTTCCAGCCGTCGGATCCTTTCCTAAGCATGTAGAGATAGCAAACCTCCTCTACACACGGCCCCGTGATCTTGAAAGTGTCCTTGGAGCACCTCTCAAACGTCCCTGATTTTGGGTCATCTAGCCTCTTTGCATAAACCTGCAGCCACCACCAAAATCAACCGGTTACCCTCTACTAAAAAAATCAATCTTCTCAAATGGGTTGCTCTCAGATTTCGATTTTGATACCTCGTTGCCATGAGAGTCGCCAAAGGCCAGGCTGATTTGGTCTCTGGTGAAAGAAGTAGAAGCACAGCTGGTCTCTATGATTACTGTGTATGGACAGCTCCTTGCAGCTGCCTGAGCCTGCAAAGTCAAATTGAGGGTCATCTTTTGATGTTTTTGTTTGTTACTAATCTGTGGAACATGAAACTTCTCGACCTGGTTCTTTACCTGGATGTCGGTTGACATGGGCTTGAAGCCATGGATGAGCTGAGGCTGTGGTGGGAGGGTTGCAGATCTGACATTTGGGATGGTTATGGAGAGAAAGTAGATGAGGAGGGCTAGATGTATAATCTGGATTTGCTTCATAGCTCTTTCTTCTGATCTGTGGTCAGCAAGAAGAAGAACATGGGGAGTATTTAAATATGGTTTCCAAGTTTCCAACTAAACTGCACAGCTGGAACCTGGAAATGAATAAATGGAAGGAGGAGCTGAAGCCTGTGAAGTGTGTGTGGGGTAGAAGTCTGGTGTGAATTGTTATTGAGATCTTATGGTTGTTAAAGTGATGGACCCTATTTGTATATTGTGTAGGACAAGCATATGCGCCAAGATTTCATTTTCATCCCTCTAATCATCCATTTTCTGTTCGTTACTGATACATGCTTTCATATACTAATTGCAGGATTGCACGACTTGGTTGGATATCTCAATAACTACATATGTTTTGTATTGTGATTTTGTTTAGAGAAATGAGAACAAATAAAACAAATTTGTCGGACCAATCAATGAGCAAGAAAATTGATTGGATACTAATTAGTGATTACTAAACCGAATTCAGAAGGAATGATTGGATCTTCAATATACAGCTTAATCCAAATCCGATTTGCTATGCATATTTTAACACTATCAAATCTGTATCATATCATAACCCTTAACCTCTATATAGCCAGATATAGCATTGGGGTCTCACTTATTAAAGATTGGGGACAGTTGGGCACTAAATAATGTCCCTGTGGAAGAGCTATCCATTATGGGCAAAATGCTGCCAAAACCAGACAGCACTACACCAAGTTTCCATAATAAGTTCCTTTACTGCCCTTTCCTTCTACCATCATGAGTCAAGAGATTTCCCTATCCATTAAACCATCAAAGTCAACTAGAAGTCTATCTAAAACAAGGGCAGAAGAAACCAGGACCAGAAAACCACTGCTGAAAGATTCATTCACATGGATCAGTTCAATAGGCAGAGATCATATTCACAAATTTCTTCTTTCTTCTTCTTCATGCCCTTGAATCAAGTTTACAGCATCTTCCATGTTTGTTTCATGTGGAGAAGTAAAGTAAAGATGTTTTTGAAGTATAGACATGGACAGACAAAGGCTTCAACCTTGCTGAGTTTATCAGAGACCATTTACGATAGTACTAGACGGAGGATCTCCCCTGAATGCTTGAAAGACCTCTCAGTTTCTTCCAAACAATGGTTCTTCTCTTCTCTGCTCCAGTTCTGTTAAGCAAACGCAGTTCCACATCAAACATAGATGTCATTTGAGCGTGGCTGTAGTAAGTTATGGTGGATGGGCTATTAGTTAAGAGGCTAGCAGCCAAATTACCTCGGCAACTTTATTCAACTTGTCCCTGACATTCTGCAGAATCTGCGAAAGATCGCCTTCCCATTTGTAGAATTCCAGCTCTTTATTGTCGAGTATCTTTTCAGCCACCTAAAAACCATAAGAAATAACAATTAGACTTGTGTTAGTGTTAACACAATGCGGTTGCTTCACACAAAAGAGAACCAGAAAATATATTTCAGTGCACTCTAGAAACTGCTTAAACAAAAGCTAAACAGCAGCTGAAATCGCCATAGCATGGATCATTTGTTTGAAGAAAAAACCCAAGTAACGAAAAACTAAGCTCATGTGAACATAAACCAGCTCTGTTCTCGAGAGATTATGGAAAAAAATTTCACTTATTTGAAGTACAAGTAGCATTTACCTTCCTCCCAATCATCCGGCCACCAGCACTGTGGGCAAAGTATATGTTGTAGAAGTGGCAAATGAATGCCTGAGGATCGTTATCTGCCAGTTCCTTGAGATATTCCGAGTAAGTAACTCCAGGAGAAGAAGGTTCGGGAATGGTATACCCTTGCTCTTTGAACCATTCCAAATCTTTAGCCAAACTTGCAGATCTTTCCAACCCCGTGTTCTTAAACTCGGCATCTACAAGAATGCAAATTTATGCCTTCAGGGTTTAACATTCATCATAATCACAAAGAAGAATCGCACAAGGTAAAGAAGGACCTCCCCACAGACAAGATGTAGGAGTATAGTAACACAATCACAAAGAAGAATCGTACGAGGGAAATTCTGGAGTTAGTTAGCATATGCAGACTGGACATTTAGATCCACTACTTTGCTTTTTGTGATCCAAATTCAACATCTATAGCCCTAGTGTCTAGTGACACAATCTATGAGCCTAATAGACCCCAAAAGAGGGAAACTTCAGCTGGTTCAACCACCGCTTTTTCACTCACTGACGTCACTTAGATGAATCAGAATCTAGGAAGAAAAAAACACAGAACATTCTCTGCTAACGTTGCAACGAACAATTATCTGAACCAGATGATCCCTTGAAACTTAACCGAAGTTGCTCAACACCTCAAACCAACCATTGAAGGCATAAGCAAACAAACCTCAACATTCATGACAAGCTGAGGATTCAACCAAAGAAAGGAACTTTCGAGCAGATTATCCAAAACCCAATTAAATCATCCAAAAAAACATGGAACTTACAGATAGAATGAGGCGCGCTGTCGACGATTGCTTCAAGAGTATCGTAAACCAACTTGCTATCTACCAAGAACCTCAAGTACCCATCAACGGAAGGCTCCCATTTGGGGATGGCCTGCTCTTCGGGCTTCTTAACCTCCTTCTCCCCTTCTTTCGCCTGCTCCCTCGTGTGCAGCTTCATCGCCACGAACCTCATCTCCTCCACAAACCCCTTCGCCTCTCCAGGGTACCTCTTCTTCTGCTTCTCCGCGGTCGTAGCCGCCACCACAACAGCTCTCTGGGGCATTTTATCGAACACCATATAACCAGGGACACGAAACTGGACTGACGCCGTTCTGGAGACGAACCCGGATGATTGGATATGGGAAACAGCAGCTGAGCGGGAAGGCAGAATAAACCCAGCTCGGGGCTTGTTAAATAGAGACTGGGATTGAGAGATTGGAGCAAAAGACGCCATTTTTTTTCTAGCTCTAGTTCGGACTTCGAAGACGTGAGGGATGAGTTCGAATTGGTAATCGTTGTTTAATTGGGTTGGGAAAGAGTGTACGAAAGCTTCAGCTCAAGAAAGGGGAAGACCGGAAGGATGGTAAGCAATTGGGCAACCAGTGAAGATCAAGAGAGGGTTCAAAGAGAAGAGGAGGAGAAGAGGAGAGCTTTTGGCTGAAGTTAATGGCTTAGAACAGCGATTCGAGTGCACTTGAAGACAAAGCGATAGAGTTTTTAATAAGCGGAACAAGACTCTGTGTATGTTTTCTTGATTGAAAAATTGTACCGAAATTGTTTAGAAAAAGAACGTAGTAGTTCAATGAAGAACTAATTGTGTTCCGATTGTTTCGTACCGTTAAAATAATTTGTTGATTTAAACTTTGATAGATGATTTTTTCGGTCGGACTGTATGTACGATTTTGTAAAACACTACCTTATATAGTAAATTGGGAGAATGGGGGAGGAATGGTGTGTATAATAATGGTCACCACTTTACCTGGAATTGGATAAGATAAGGTTCTCATAAAGAAAAGAAAAAATGGTGTCCAAATCCAATGAATTAATCAGCAGTTTTGAACCAAGGCAAAGGGATTTGAAAAAAGTTACCATATTAGAGTATGACTATATAGTATATACACATGAATATAGTTTGGTTCAGTCTGAAAATTCTATCGTTTTAAGATAATATTGTATTCGAATTAAAAATAAAAATAAAGATTATAAACATATAGAAATGTGTAAACTGTATTTGCTTGATTCTCTTTTTTCTTCCTTTGTTAATAGGAGGATGATTGAAATCGAAATGACATCGCGTTATGTGCATTTTCAATTTGATTCAAAGCAAAATTATAGATTCGACCATGTATAAATGGATTGTTTGTCCATCAAACATATCAACGATATAATAAAAAGATTCACCGAATCACAAATAATTATGATAGGTAGTACCCATTTAGAAATAGACGAATTCAACTCCACCGTTTAATGTTTGGAAATTGGAATCTTTAGCAAGAATTAAGTTTGAGCTTAAAACAAAAACTCAGTAATTAATTGTCCTGTGGTCGTGGGGGCATATCAGTTAATTTCACAAGCAAGGGGGCAGCAGTAAAAGGGCGGCAAAACCTGTTGGTTATGTTTTGGAAATGGGCCGTTGGGAATTCATTGCAGCCCAAAAATGGCAACTAGAGAATCAAACCACTAAACGTTGTTCTTCTTCTCTTTCATTTAGATAAATTTAGATTTATTATTTTCAAAACCGAAGTATATAGATCAAGTGATTAAAACAAATTAACGTAAACCGCCATCTGTGGTTTACGTTAATTTATCTATGTCACTTCTTTTATTAAAATAAATTAACGTAAACCGCCATCTACACTCATAAGAAAAGTGGAAAAGTTCTACTATCTCACTTCTTTTCCTTCTCATTCGAACTTATTGGTCATGTTTTCCCCATCTGTGGTATCAATGACCAAAAAACTGGTCATGTTCCCCATCTGGGCTTTTACAGGGAACTCATTGCAGCAAAATTGACAACTGAAATAGGATATCACTGTTTCATTTTTTGATGGAGCTGGAAGGTAATGAATCATGGAGAAATTATATATATATATGTAAGCATCCAATGTACATTCCATGACAGCTGAATAAATAACTATCTTACAAAGAAACTTTGGATACATAAACAAGTTGCAGCGCCTAAAACCATGGCGCAGGCAATAATAGTACAGGGAAAGTTAAGAACACTGGTCACTCTTGCTTTCTGGTCATCTTGAATAAGATTGATCACATGCATTCCAACAAGGCAAGACTAATTGCAGATGAATTTTCATCCAATGGCGCCATCCTTCTGAACAACACGAGCTAGCCTTTCAAGTTTCACCGCCTTCTGCTTCCTTAACTCGATATGCTGGGGAGGGAGGGGTCTAGTAATTAAACCAGCCACTGCATAGATTCTTTTTCTGACAATCCAGCCACTGCATAATTCTCTCTTTGACAATCCAGACACTGCATAAATGGAATGAAAAGTAAAATTCGCAACAAGAAGAGCAGAGGTTTGCAAACACATCAGACTTCTCAAGCGATTAGAAAGGAAGCAGAGACAGGTATGCAAAGTATGTGTTTGTGCTACTCAACAAAAGACAGCTTCCTTTTTCATCCTACCGATTTAGGAGGGACTAGAGTTCTTGATGTGGTTGCTGACATGTTGTTTTCTAGGAGAAGCTTCTTTCGGACTCTATTAGCGAATTCCTAAACCCGAACACAGATGCAAGCAAATGCAGAAAAGATAGATTATTACCGATTGTTCAGGGAGAGAGTTGCTGCTTTGCTGCTGCTCTGTTGAACCCAACAGCTATATCGCCCATCGTATATAGCTCGCAGTTCCTCGTACCTTGGAATCGGGGTAGGCCAGCAAGAAACCCTAGGCTGGAATCTGGGAACAAACTCACCAAACAACCCTAGCTCTGCAGTCTTCATATCGTAGGACAGTGCAACACTCCGACGATCACCAAAACCAGGATGTTTGAAGAAGACAATATGCGGCTTCTCTGGGTGCAAACCAGCTACATCACAGTCCTCAAGTTCATAGTCGCAAATTTTGACCGTCTTCCCCAACACAGTTTTATGTTGCATACTCCAAGATTTACGGTCTTCTTCCAGTCTCCAAACACTCAAAAGTGTAGGTGGAGCAAGTGATATTAGGTGTAGAGCACCTTGTGAGACCGAAATATTCCAGCTTCCCTTGGCGAGTCGAGAAGTATCAAGTCGGATGGGAGGTACATCAAGGCGAAAGGGATTAAACCCAGCAATTATTGGATGAGACCCCAAAACTCCGGAATTCATACACAACCAAAACAACCCACCGTTGCAGGATGTAGAAACTACATTAATATCAGACAAACTGAAATGCCCATTAAGAACAAGAGCCTCCTTCGTCCACTCACCAGACTCGGAACAAAACAAGTCTATCCTTATAGAATCGCGCAAGTGGTAAATACACACCACCCGGAACCGGTATGCAGAGGAATAAAAAAATGGTGGTTGGCCTTCTCCTAGATCAAGTTCAACATTAGAGCTGGGTTCACAAACTAACCTTGTCTTCCTTAATCCAATTGTAGAAGACCGCCGCGTTTCTGGCGCTAGAGGAAGAGCGATCCACTGCTCCGTGAACGGGTTGCAGATGAAGAGAGATCTCTGATATTCGGTACGAAATCCGCACAAAACCAAGTCCTTGTAAGAATCAAAAACTAGGAAATTCCATCTTCCGTAAACTGATTCATCGGGCAGGGGGAGGAAGCTCAAGATGGATTCGCCGAAGAGTGAGGCCATCAAAGGTGGTTCTTCGCATTCGCCACCGTATCGGTTCCATCTGCTCTGGTGGTGAGAAATGAAACGGCGAACGAAGTGGGGATCGGGAATCAGAGAATTCCATCGCTTGCAGACTGCTCTGCATCGCCAGGCGGATCTAGGTTCCGGGAGACGAATCAGAACTTCTGCCAGGAGATCGTCACCGAGATTGCCGATCGGAGAAGGAGGGTTTCCTTCTTCCGAGTCATCGATCCGGCGTCGTTTACTGGGCGCGCAAGGGATAATAATACCTAATCTTAGCTCCAGATCTAAATCTGGGCTCAAGTTAGGGTGCATAACCATGGGTTATGCACCCATCAATAATCAAATCTGGACCCTTCATTTAGAAAATTCAGATCTAAGGATGGAGAATTAAAGCTCATTTTATTTTCACTAGCTTTCTTAATCGACTCATATCTTTTTCATTTTAACTCGGATTTGAGTTTTTTTTGCACAGATGGAACGAGTTCATCGTGCTCTACAAAATGAGATCAATTTTCAATATTTTTTGAGGAAAAAAAATTTATGACCTCTCGGTACCAACTACATACCATATGGTATCTTCTTCGTTTTTAATTCGTTTTTGAAAACGTTTGCACAGTAGGGACGAGTTCATCATGATCTATTGCAGACATGTATACCGAACGGCAAACGCGGCAGCACATATCATGGCACATACCAGGACAAGATGGAATGAAACTGAAATTTGGTTTGATAGGCCACCTATGAATGTAATCGACCAGCTGGAGCTGGACTCTGTAATGGCTACTCATTCTTAATATAGCCTAGCGCAGATTTCCGTAAAAAAAAAAGATCTACAAATTTCTGGGTGAACAAATTACAAGACAAAAAAATACCACACAATACCATACAATACCACCCTGGTACGGGGTGGTATTTTATGGTATCTTATGGTATACAATGTTAAAAATCGTAAATGACAATTAATATACTTCTACTATCATGTATTCAACCATCCTACAGTTTTGGTTTGTGTCATACCACCATGGTACGCTTTTCAAACCATAGGTATGCTCTTATTTCAATACCAGTCAATACCATATGGTATAGACTGGTATAAAATGACCGATTTTTTTTGTTCGAAAAATATATCAAAGTGGATATCATTTTGAAGAGCACAATTAATCTGATCTAACTGTGCAAAAAAAATTAAATTTTGACTTAAAACGAGTGAGAAATCATCCGTCAAATATTAAGGAGGGGAAAATTAAAGGCTTTCCAGGAGAGAGAGGATGCTGATGTCATGTTGATGTGAGCGAGTTACTCATAGTTACTCACCATAAGGTTACTGACCTGATCCATTCCCAAGGTAGGATGTGCAGTTCTCGCCCGCCATGGCAGCGGTAGAACTCCAGTCGTCGATCCGCCGTTTCATTGACGCGCAAGGGAGAAGACCTAATCTTAGCTCCATATCCAAATCTGGGTAAGATGTGCAGTTCTCGGTCGCCATGGCGGCGGTTGAACTACAGGATTGATACGAAGATTAGCACGCCGCCGGTGAAGGTGAAAGCGATTTGAAACTCCTACTAATATATACATAATGGTATGTGAGACAGCGAGAGCCGAATCTGATATGGATTAGGAAAGCCTATTACTTGAAGGTTTCTCGTCGGATGAGAGTTTCAAGCACCCAATATGAAACATGGCCAATTCAATTCATGTGCCACCGCTTGGCAATCCAATCCGCTTCGGTCCACTCGTAAGTCGTATCTATCGTTAAACTAGGGTTCTAACTTTGAAAATTTGATTTTTGTAGCGCGTTCGAACAACAAAGTTGCTCATTCGGTAGCGCGTAAAGCTCTGATTTTGTCGCCTCGTCTACTGGCGGGGTTTTGACTATATTGTTTGGTTACGTAGTAGATAGATTGTCTCGAACAATGATCTTTGTATTTCCTCTTTTTGGAGGAATCTAATGGAAGAAAAAAAAACTCGAAATTTGATACAAGGCGATGTTTGATCACTAGTCCTATTAGAGAAACGTAAATGAATGTTGATCTAAACAAGATAAATTCAAGTCTCATGTCTCATGTATTGTGCGAGCATAAGTAATTGATATGGAATTCGATGCCCTGTCCCCGAAATTAGGCGTCGTGAAAGACTGAGAAGAAAGCATGCCTTGCTTCGTTTACTACATGTCTACATCCATATCACACTTCCTACCCTAATACCATTTCACACATTTAATCACGACATTGTTTGAAAACTCAATTAGCCCTAGAACAGACTTTCCTAATCTCGCCATCCCTCCCAGTCTTCACCTCAACGCCGCTCATCTTGATCATCGCCTTCGAGAACTCGAAATCGAATCGAAACCCGAAAAGCCCCCGAATCGTCCCCGCGTAATTCTCCACGATCCGCCGCGTGTTCGCGTCGTCCCACAGCCTCTGGTCCGACTCCAGCACCCCGTTCCCTGCCTTCACGTTCTTGAAGAAGCTGGTGTCGAAGTTCCCGTGGCTGTCCCTGTCCAGCGGGATCTTCTTCAGACCGTTTCCGTTTCTGGGGCAGAGCGTCTGAAGCTGCGCGAGGAAAGACTGGCTGATCGTCGGATCGGCGTTCCCCGTCGCCGTGAAGTTGTAGAGCCGGTAGCTCATGAATCTGCACTCTGTTTGCCCGATTGTATGTGCCCCTGCATAATCAAACAATTACGAAGAATTTGTTACTTCGCTGACATGATTATATATAAAGTTTTGATGAAATCCCTTCGGTTTTATCCACTAATTTTGTAAATGTAGCGGCCAATTGAACACAAAATGTTACGGAAGTCCAAAAAACAGAGGAAATTTTAGTGCTTGGAAAGTTACCGGCTAAGGTGACGAGATCGTGATCGTCGAGCCCTTTAGCGGCGAATTTCTGCCTCTGGGCAGCAATGGAATCGAGGGGCGACGGTAAAACCGCTGCCTGGGAAGCAGAAGAGACTCTCCCATCTCTTCTTCCCGTAGGGACTGCCCAGCTTGGGCCATTACTCTGTTTCAACAAATTCCAAACAAACAAAGAAAAGAAATTGTCAAGTGACCTTTAGCGACGGATGATTTTCATTACAAAATAAGTTTCTGGCGTCACTAAAGCTACATCTTCGTTACCAAATCTACGGAATCCCGAGCAGCCAGAGCAAGAATATCAGCACAGGAGACGACGCCGGGGCAGGACGCTTCCAGTTGGGCTTTCGCCGCGTCGATCACTTCGAATCCTCGTATTCCGAGGTTCTGTGGCGCGCTCCTCTCCGCGTTAGAGCCCGAAATCAGCACCGAACCGTCGCAGCCCTGAAAAAGTAAATGGTATAACATCCATAATTGAACTTCTTCCGAAGTTATTGGAAACAACTGCTTTACGACGCTGACACAACACATGATGATCAGTTATGAAATGGTGGAAATAACCCAACAGAAGGATATTCGATTCGTTACCTGGACGAAGCAATCGTGGAAGTGAAGTCTGAGCAGACCAGGAGCAATGGAAGGATCGTCCTTGAAGGCCGATTCGACCGCCGACCTGACAATGGCCTCTGCCTTGGGGCAAGATGAAGAGTAGAACCCATTTTTCAGCTGGCCGTGTACTACTGCTGTAGAGCTCCAACTAGCCACTAACGCGATCATCAAAGGAACAAGCCCGAGGGAGGACACCATTTTCATAGACGTAAAACAGAGCATATAATTTGTTGCTTGATTGATTCCCCTGTTTCTGTCACATTTTGGGCAGAGTGATCTCTCCACATATTTATAGGGTAGAGAAAGGAGGGACATATGATGAGTCGACATCTTTTGTTTATTGAGTGACCCACTTTGAAATTTGGGGGGCAATTGGGTTGGCTTCTTTTTTCTCTTTTAGTGGAGTGGGAGAGTGGAGAGGCCAATAATCCAAAGTGGTGATGGTGTGGCTATCTCAATTGCATTGGTGGTGCAATTGGCATGCACCGCCTTGGACTAGTGTAATGTTGATCATCATCATTTTGATGTTTGATATGCATGCTTAGATGTAATAGATAATCATCTATGGTTTCACTTATCAAAATGGCTGGTAAAATGTGCTATGTGTAAGGTATATGCACGAGCCCATTGAACAAGTTGATTGATCTGGAGGTATTAGCAACAGAGACTAGACCGTTTTTGGAGTGATCGGTTAGATCAATCTCATAAGTTTTCAACCTTCCATTTTATCAAGACTCTTTCGAACGTGAACATTCATACCCAGTAAATTACACTTCTATCGTCCTGCTGTCGGACTAAAACTACATCCATGACTGATGCACATATCGTCTATCTGTCTTGCAAGAACATAGGTTAGCATGTTATTACATCGTCCTTCTATCATATCCATATAGTAGGTTTAGGGTACCGCATACCAATGGTGATAAAACGTTATATATACCTTGAAGTAGCCGAATTTTAGGGCATGATATTATATCTACTAACCCTGAAGGAGTAAGCACTAGCTAGTTCATAGTTCTCTAAAACATTAAATCCTACTGCATCTAGTATGCTGGATAAATGTCGACGAATCACAATCGCCCATCATAATTTATAATTAAATTAATATCAGGGTATAGAGGTTAGTGAATTATGATCTATCTTATATCATACTTCAAAGTCCGATTCAATTGAAAATCTAAATAACGCTTTCTTACTCGACCAGATCATATAATAATATATTATATACGTCTGGATTCACTTTATTCCTTGACGCGTTTATTCACTTTCTCCTTTGTTTCTGGCCTTTCTTTCTTTGTCGATTCTTCCTTGTAAGCTCCCACCAACGATCGAAAGTTTCTTCACGTTCACATGAGCTTTTATGAGTTTACTAACTTTGCTATTGCCTCCTCCATTATTGGTTGTGGCTATCAGCATATTCATATCTATATTTATATGAAACAATTGACTATGTCAATATTCGGATGCACAGGGGAAAGTTGGTTAATGATTATTATTTGCATGCATGAAAAGGATAATGAATTAATATATACTCTTGTGTTAATGGTGCTTCAACTTATTTTTCTATCTTAACTTGTATAATAGAATGTGAAGGAATTAGGAATGAAGTAAATAGGGTTCGCGAGTCGCGACTTCGTGTTGATAACTCGAAGAGTTAAGCCAAATTTTGCATGAAGTAGGTGTTTGAGCCTCGCCTTCAACGACAAAAGAATGTGAAATATTTGTCGAAGAAATATTTCAAGTATTGAATCTCGACAAATGACTCTTGATAATCACACCAGATGTGCGAAATGCTACGGGGTATGCATAATATATCAATCAAAAGCATTTTATAGTTGTAATATTGTTAAAAGATGCAGTAATTAATGAGATGCATTATTATATACATCTATTAGGTGGAAGAAGCTAGATATTTTATCCACACATTGAAAAATACAGAAATGTATTGCATATTAGTGGACTGTGACAAAGCCAAATGGACAGACATGTCTGACCCATTTTATAATTGGCTGAAGACCTAACATCGTGGGTATTCTCATATAGTATAAGCACTCACCAATTTTCGAATGTGTTTCTCATGATGCTAAGAGAAATTTTCAAACTCCATATATATGAAGCTTCTGCTCCTTCTCATAATAAGTTTCTTTTTTTGTGGTCATAGATGATAGATAAAATGTATGAGAACAACGAGCAACTAAACTTGACAGTTGATAAATAGTCGAACTGTCGATGAAAGGGCGTTGTTAGTCACTAAATGTACAACCATGTTAAACCGGTAAGGAGTAAGAGTGAACGAGAAATTTAGAAAGATTATGGACTGCCAACAACGGGATGTCCATAAACGCCAACAAGAGTAACATTGGAGACAATCCAAAAACAAAGTATGTCAACCGTCAACATGACCAAGAGGAGAGAGCCTAACCCTAATCCTAAACCAACCAGCTCCCATAATTCCGTAGCTACACGACAATTTATGACGAGAATGAGTAATGAATTCTGTATCGTCATAACAAATGAATACGTACTGTCAGTGACCAATGTTTTAGTCAATAGCATCGCCCGAATCGAGAGGAAACTCTGCACCATTTGCCAACAAAAAAAAACCTTCAATTTGTAAGATAAGGGAAGATTCCACAAGCATTTCCAGAATCTTAAATCAAACGGCAAAAGGAGCTGGCGGATGGAGTCGATTTAGTTCTCAAGTTAGGCAAGCATGATTTTCATCCAAAAAAGATAAGCAAGCATGATCGAGTGGATAGGTATGTTCTCATTTTTCCTTTCCAACATGTCACACTTATCATGGTAGTGTAAGTTGTAACTCCACCCCCAATCCATGTTAGGATTGAAAGAGCCTGAGATCAGAGCCATTCCAATTTCCAGGTCAATTGACTCTCTTTGCTCTAACTTCATGTCCTTCAATTTAAGCTACTGTGACCACAATTTTTGTAACGACGTGGGTAAGGTAAGATCTATACATAGACTTCTTCGAACAACTCGAATTATTCATACCAGTTGATTTATGACCCACTTGCCTATCTTGACAAAGAAGAGTCGCCATGTCAAGGGACAGCAGCAACTGCCCACAGCCAATTCCAACGACCTTTTCCTCGAAATCATATCCTAAACCTAAAATCCTTTGCTTGACTGCGAATCAACTATCATGGGATTGCTTTTGCTCCACGGAACCTTCAAGCAAAAGCAACCTCCAAGAGTGAACTCTCCCACACCCTGAAAGCCTTCCAACCAAAAGCTTTATCAATGGTGGGGAATCTAACATCATGTTCTTATAGCCTAAAAGTAGAAAGGAAATCATCTCCAAATTGCATTCCCAAACCCATCTCCCAATAAACTAGACTCTGGCAAAAAGACATTCTGCAGACACCCTCAGTACAATACCAGAATCAACTATAAACAGTCAAATCAAAACTTAGCACAAATTTGATGCATACAAAAGAAATAGTATATATTGGTTATACTAAACTGAGATACTGCCATACTGGTTTGGTTCCTTCCACTTTCTAGCACTTTACACATCTCTCTTCTGTGTTAGTATCATATAATTTCCATCATTCTCTAACTCCATGCACAAAAGCTCTGCATGAAACATATTGGGTAGCTACTCAAAACAATCAAAAACTCAAACAAAGCAAATTACATAACAAGACTGAGACATCCTGTAAACTGTTCTGCAGCTTCTTGTTTCACTACTACTTGGCCACTTGCTCCAAGATGGCAACTTTGTTCCAAGGCTCCTCCAACCCACCACTCACCTGAATCGGCGGCAGCGAGAACACGCTCACCGTGGAGCTCCTGCTGCGAATCTCCTTCAGGATCCTCAGCGCGGACATCGAGCTCTTCATGTACAGGCTCTGCATCTGCTCGATCTCTGCCAGTTCCTTGGGGAGCACGTTAAGCACCCCGTCCTCAACATTGCTTGCAGCAGCAGCAGCTGCTGAGGTCGAAGGACCTGCATCGTCCCCATCTTCATCGCTCGAATTACCCCGGCTTGATGCCCCCAATGCTCCCAATTTGACGGGGAAGAAGCGATCGAGCATCGTCTCGCACTCCTTCACTAGCTTGTTCAGCAAGTCTGTGGTGAAGAAGGGCTCCTGCAGGACCTTCTGGATGAATGGCAGCCGGATTAGTGCACCGGTTCGCTTGTCGTACTTCTTCAGTATCTTTGCCAGTCCTGTTTCGATGGATCGCTCGCCGCAATTAGAACCCCCGGAAAAAAAATGGCGATTGAATCACAGGGTTGAGCTATCTGGAGGATTCAGATTTCATTGTTCATTACCTGTGTAGTTAAGGGCGCTGTAGTTCTCGAGCAGAACCATCTCTCCGTGGAAATCGACAATCTCTTTGCGAATCTTCATGATCTCGTCGTTCGAGTCCTTCGCTCTTGCAACGGAGTCTTGCAGCTCCTGATTCACGATGAAAAGCTTCAACCAGTCAATTTCTACAGCAGATTATAAGTACTCAATTTTCAGTTCATCCTAGTACAGTCTAGAGGGGGAAAAAATGAAAAATACAGGTATGAAAATGTAGCTCATTTTACTTATGGGGGCCAAAAGGGAAATATGCCGCGGGACTGATCCGAAAGGAATATATAAATGTGACTGTGAGTGGTGGCCAGTGCCCAGTTGTTTAGCCAAAAGTTGACACAAAAAATGAAAAAGAGAATAAAACGCGCCACGTGGCAATTAAGTATTGGTTTCTGATTAAACTGACCGTCACAGTAACTCTCTCACGGTCCACTCTCTCCCTCAATACGACAGCGTTTCAAACCTTCAGACTAAAACTCTGCTCGCCGCCGGCGAAAACAGAGTATTCACCGGGAGCCAAACAGATCGAGATACCGTCACCGGAGAAAACAGAGATGGCGGAGGGAAAAAAAAATCGGGGGCTTTGTGTCTTATTATTACCTTCAATCTGATGATGTACTCTTCCTCTTTCTCGACGAAGAAGGAATTGAACTTCTCGAGCTCGTCCTCCAAAAGCTTGATGAAATCGATCTCCTCCTCGGACACGCCGCCGTCCATTCTCGGCCGCTTGGCGGGCCTATCTCCTGGGCCGTCGCCGGCCCTGTTGTTGGGCTCGATGAGCTTCAATTTCTTTTTTAGCTCCTTGTAGGAGAGGAACTTGTCCCTCCACTCGGGCAGAGTCTCGTCGATCTGGGTGCTGAGGCTTTTGCCGAACTTCATCGTTACAGAGTCTGTTTCGCCGGAGAGGAAATGGGAAAGGCAATTAAAGAAGAGG